CTCTCTCTGCCTCTGTCTGTCTGTAACTCTGCCATTCAAAGAAAAGAGAATGTTTTCTGGCTAGTGCTCATGATAATGATTCTTAAGTGACTCTGAACTGCTGTGATTTTCCCAGACCTTCTAAATCTGGATTTGCTGGGGTGGCTCTGGATATCTGTTCTGATTTGTTTACAAAAAAATGACAACAAAATACTAACTTGTTTAATTTTAATATGATTTGCCTTCTTAATTAAGAACCATCATTTTAGGGCATAGGAATAGTTTTCTGAATGTCAAAGGAAATCAGAGTTAATTTATGGCAATAGCCTTTTTGTTTGTTTGTTTTTACACTATTAGGCACTATGCCTAATATGCATTTTCTTAATACAGTAACATTATGAAGAAGAAATTATGCATGTCTTTTATAGATGAAGAAATTGCGATTACAGCCGGTAAATAAATTACCTAAGGTCACAAAATTAGGCAGTTACAGAACCAGACTTTGAATTGAGGTGTGACTGAAGCATAGTCTTCCATCCACTCAGTGTTAGATCTTGAATGAAGAATTTTGGAAACCACACATACAAAATGGGAAAAATAGAGTCCTTTGGGCAGTAAGTCTGTTTTTTTTTTTTTTGACAGGCAGAGAGAGAGAGAGAAAGGTCTTCCTTTTTCTGTTGATTCACCCCTCAAATGGCTGCTGTGGCCGGCATGCTGCGCCAATCCGAAGCCAGGAGCCACATACTTCCTCCTGGTCTCCCATGTGGGTGCAGGGCCCAAGCACTTGGGCCATCCTCCACTGCCTTCCCGGGCCACAGCGGAGAGCTGGACTGGAAGTGGAGCAACCAGGACAGAATCTCACACACACACACACACACACACACACACACACAGAGGGAAAGGGGAGAGGGGAGAGGGAGATCTTCCATCCACTGGTTTGTTTTCCAAATAGACAAAACAGCCAGGGCTGGGCCAGGCTGAAGCCAGAAGCCAGGAACTCCATCTTCCTCTCCCATCTGGGTAGCAGGGGCACAAGCACTTGGACCATCATCCTCTGCTTTCCCAGGTGCTAGGTTGGAAGTGGAGTAACTGGGATTTGAACCAATACTCTGCAGTGGGATCACAGCCTCACAGAAAATAGCTTAGCCAGCTGAGGCAGAATGCTGGCCTTCAGTTGTTTTTTTATTTTTTAAAATTACATTTTAGGCCGGCGCCGCGGCTCACTAGGCTAATCCTCCGCCTTGCGGCGCCGGCACACCGGGTTCTAGTCCCGGTCCGGGCGCCGGATTCTGTCCCGGTTGCCGCTCTTCCAGGCCAGCTCTCTGCTGTGGCCAGGGAGTGCAGTGGAGGATGGCCCAGGTGCTTGGGCCCTGCACCCCATGGGAGACCAGGAAAAGCACCTGGCTCCTGGCTCCTGCCATCGGATCAGCGCGGTGCGCCGGCTGCAGCGCGCTGGCCGCGGCGGCCATTGGAGGGTGAACCAACGGCAAAGGAAGACCTTTCTCTCTGTCTCTCTCTCTCACTGTCCACTCTGCCTGTCAAAAAAATAAATAAATAAATAAATAATAAAAAAAATAAAATTACATTTTAATTAATTTATTTGGGTGGGGAGAGAGTAAGTGAGAGGGAGCGCATGCTCTCATGGCTGATTGACTCCCCAAATGCTCACGACAGCCAGGCTGGGCTGTGGCTGGCTCAGGGCCAGTACTGAAGCTGGGAAGTGGTAACTCAATCTAGGTCTCTCCTGTGAATGGCAGGATACCAGTGACCCTGTCCATCACTCTGCCTCTCAGGATCTGCATGAGCAGGAAGCTGGAGTTAGGAGCCAGAGACTGGTGTTGGAGTCAGATGCTGCTACTGAACCCAGGCCTATATATATATATTATATATATGTGTGTGTGTGTGTATGTATATATATGTATATTTATTTGTTATTTGTCTTATATATGCATATATATTTATTTGTTAATTTTTAAAAAATATTTATTTATGTATTTGAAAGGCAGAGTTATAGAGAGGTAGAGATAGAGAGAGAGGTCTTCCATCCTCTGCTTCACTCCCCAAGTGGCTGCAATGGCTGAAGCTGAGCTTATCCGAACCCAGGAGCCAGGAGCTTCTTCAAGGTCTCCCAAGGAGATTTCCAAGGACTCGGGCCATCTTCCACTGCTTTCCCAGGCCATAGCTGAGAGCTGGATTGGAAGTGGAGCAGCCAGGACTGGAACTGGTGCCCATATGGGATGCTGGCACTGCAGTCAGCGGCTTTACCCACTGTGCCACAGCGTCAGCCCTGCTTAACCTATATTTTAACCATTGGGCTAAATTCCCATTCCTGTATATGATTTTTGATGGTGATAGTTGTATTTGGTCTTTTACAAGTTTCATTGGTGCTTCTTTTGCCATTATTGTTTAATGTTTTCAGGATGTTAGTAACATGAAAATTGTTTATTCATGCCTGCTTGGAAATCAGTGTAAATTTAGAGATGTGTAAATTAAATTTAAACCAGCAAGTTAAAAAAATTTTTTTTTGTTTCATTAGTGAACTTTTAATGAAAGATACTTGTGGGTTTTTTGGTGGTTGTGTATTGATTTGGCTTGATTTCGGAGGTTTTGGTCCTTTTCACCTGATACCAAGTGGTATATAAGGTGGTTAATACCGTTATTTATTTATTTATTTATTTATTTATTGACAGGCAGAGTGGACAGTGAGAGAGAGAGACAGAGAGAAAGGTCTTCTTTTGCCATTGGTTCACCCTCCAATGGCCGCCGCGGCCAGCACGCTGCTGCCGGCGCACCCGATGGCAGGAGCCAGGTACTTCTCCTGGTCTCCCATGGGGTGCAGGGCCCAAGCACTTGGGCCATCCTCCACTGCACTCCCTGGCCACAGCAGAGAGCTGGCCTGGAAGAGGGGCAACTGGGACAGAATCTGGCGCCCCGACCGGGACTAGAACCCGGTGTGCCGGCTCCGCAACTCGGAGGATTAGCCTTGTGAGCCGCGGCGCTGGCCGAATACCGTTCTTTATAGTGCTGTTGCTGTTTTAATTTTATAGGGTAGCCTTTAGAATTTAGTTAACTTTGTCTTACAGGATAACAACTTGTCAAATCCCAGTTAGGTAGAGAGTATACTTTTGTGTGTGATACTTGCTGGTGCTAATAGTGCCAGTGCAGTGGTATGTTTACTGATCTCCACCGGTGAAGTGTTATTAGACTCCTTTAGTGCTGCATTTCTCTTTGAGTAGTTCATTAAAAAATTTCAAAGAATTTCAGATTTGTCTCATTTCTTATTTGAGCTACATGTTTTTCTAAATTCATTTTTCAGGTTTGTTGTTAATTCAGAATTTTGAAAGTTGAAAAGATCTGACATTTAGCCCATTCTCTGTCTTCATACAATTCACAATAAATTGCCACAAGTAAGAGATTATATTCATGTTTGATAAAATTCCTTTTGTAGGCCTGAGTCATAAAATAGGAAATTTATAAGAATTGTGAATAAGTTGCTGTGTGGGGCACCCATTGGTATCTGAAAGTTAAGGTCTCCAAGGATTACCCGGATGTTTCAGGTTTTCTCTTGGCTGCACTTGCTGTCTGAGGAGCCAGCCTAGCCCCTCCGGCCTGACAGCAGCCATTCCTGGGTCCACGCAGTCCTCTCCAGGTAGGCTGCAGGCAATCCCTGTGGTGCCAGAGGTGGTACCGTCTTTGATGCTATCTGAAATTCATGGGCATATGTCTATTCATGATATTTGTTGTTTCTTTAAGAAGATTATTAAATACAGTGTTAAAGAAAATCTTCCTGCCATCTTTGCTTCCTCAAAGCCACACTTTGAATTTTTTGTTCTTAGTGACTGTTTTGCTCCCTGAGTATTCCCTATCCTTTGCATAGTGTCTGATTTGGCACCTAATAAATAACGGGTTGAAGGAATGAAAGGATGTCCTCATTCTGTTGTCACACTTGATAAACAGGTTGATTCCTATAGCATTCCAGGTTGGATAGCATTGCTTTGCCATCTTAGCTTACAGTTTTGCTATTCATGAGTAGATTCCATTGTGATTCTAGTTTCTTTGTATGTGGCACCTTGTTCCTTGCTGTAAACTTTTATGGTCTTTTCATGTTACCATATTAAAGAGTGTGCTAGGGTAATTTTAGAGATTAGTTTCATTCAGCAAGGGGATTTTTTTTTTTTTTTTAAAGATTTTTCTATTTGAAAGAGTTACAGATAGAAAGGAGAGAGATGTTCCATCTGCTGTTTCACTCTCCAAAAGGCTGCAATGACCCTGGCTGGGCCAGGCCAAAGCCAGGAACCAGGAGCTTCTTCTGGGTCTTCCACATGGGTGCAGAGGCACAAGGACCTGGGGCATCTTCCACTGCTTTCCCAGATGCATTAGCAGAGAGTTGGTTTGGAAGCTTAGCAGCTGGGAATTGAACTGGTGCCCGTATGGGACGCTGGCACTGTAGAGGGTGGCTTAACCTGCTGTACCACAGTGCCAGCCCTGGGGATTTTTTAAATATAGACGTATTTATTTATTTGAAAGGCAGAGTTTAAGAGAGGGAGAGATCTTCTTTTGCTAGTTTCCTCCTCCAATTTCCTCATCTGCCCGAGCTGGGCCAGGTTGAAGCCAGGTGTGTGTAACTCTCTCTGGATCACACACGTGAGTGGCTGGGACTCAAGTATCTGGGCTATTATCCTCTGCCTTCCCAGGTGCATTTACAGGGAGCTGGGTTAGAAACGGAGCAGCCAGAACTCAAATTGACTCTCAGATGTGGGATGCTGCTGTTGAAAGCCGATGCTTAACCTGCTGTGCACATGCTGGCCCCTATCTGCCATTTTTATGTTGGAGTTTTTCTTCTTCCTGTGAGCTCTAATAACTTAATATTATTTTGTAATGGAAATGGCAAGTCAAATACATAAATTTAGAATAGATTAGTTCAAATAAAGTATTGAATGAAATGTTGAGTTGATTTGTCTTAACATCCAGTTAGGTCATATACCTTGTAATAATGATTTCTTTGAATTTTATTTGTGCAGAAGAAATTGAGGAAGAATCTGAAACAACAGTTGAGGCTGACTTGACTGATAAACAGAAACATCAATTGAAGCATAGGGAACTCTTTTTGTCACGCCAGTATGAATCTTTACCTGCAACACATATCAGGTAAGAGCTTGTTAGAAGCTAAGCTAATGTACTAAATAAATCTAATGACCCCCCCAAAAAAAAGCTTCTTTGAAGCACTTTCCAAACGCTACTCAGGATCTTGCTCTAATTAGTTTATTAAAGGCTTCCTAATGGTGTTTTATCTTGGAACTTTGCAGTATGTCTTAACATATTAAAGCTCTGCAAAAATTCTGCAGAAAAGTAACCATTTTAACTTCATTTTAATCCTGACTTTGGCAGTTTGCGAGTCTTGTTAGCATTGTGCAAAATAGCAGATACCATTTTGGGAAATGCTAGTCTTCTCCAGATTCCTAGGAAATAATTTAGTTATTAGAATTCAAGGGCTGGAGCCCAAGAGCTAGTTCCCAGGCAGGTGACTCTTGACCTTGTATGGTATGTGGCTTTTTATTTTCTTTTGAAGATCTCTCTGGAAAGAAAATTATATATTTAGGGCCTGGTGCAGGTTAAGCATCTGCCTGTGACAGTGGCATTCTACTTGGGCAGCTGGTTCAAGGCCCAGCTGCTCCACTTCTAATCCAGCTTCTTGCTGATGTGCCTTGGAAATCAGTGGAAGGTGGCCCCTGTACCCATGTGGGAGACGTGGAGGAAGCTTTGGACTCCTGCCTTCAGCCTGGCCCAGCCCTGGCCATTGTTGCCATTTGGGGAGTGAACCAGCAGATGGAAGATCTCTCTGTCTTTCTCTCCTCTTCTCTCTCTAACTCTGCCTTTTAAATAAAGAAAAAAAATCTAAAAAAAAAAAAAAATCCTCCAATATTATATATACATTTTTTTCTTCGCTCATATTCTGGCATCTGCTCTGTGCATTGATAGGATATGAAAGTGAAAGACATCCAGTTACTGATGTGTATTTTTGGGCATTGTGGAAGTGATAATCTTTCATGATCTGATGGATATAAAAGTTAAACATAAATATAGGTGTTGGCACTGTGGCGCAGTGGGTTAACGCCCTGGCCTGAAGCACCAGCATCCTATCTGGGCGCCAGTTCGAGACCTGGGTGCTCCACTTCTGGTCCAGCTCTTTGCTATGGCCTGGGAAAGCAGTAAGAAGATGGCCCAAGTCCTTGGACCCCTGCACCCGCATGGGAGACCCGGAAGAAGCTCTTGGCTCCTGGCTTTGGATTGGCCCAGCTCCAGCCATTGCAGCCAACTGGGGAGTGAAGCATCAGATGGAAGACCTCTTTCTCTCTCTGTCTCTCTTCTCTCTGTGTGTAACTCTTTCAAATAAATAAATAAATCTTCAAGAAAACCCTAAATATATATGTATTTTTAGTGTAGTCTGTAATAGGTGTGTGTTAGAGGTATAACAAAATTCAAAAGATAGGCAGATGCTGAAATTTGGGGTCAGGGAAGTTCTAAATGACTTGGGATTTATCAGCCTTTGAGAAAATGCAGGGCATATACCAGGTAGAGGGAACAGGTGAGCAGAGTATATGCAGAGTGCGTGGTGTATGCAATGTTTAGTCTTCCACATTAAAGAAATTCCTACAACTTTTCTTTGTAATCTTTTTTTTTATCCTTTTTATCCATCTCTCTACTAGTCATGATGGTCATCAAAACTTTTTATATACAGAAAGGTGCTGTATTTGCTATTCTAATAGTTACTCCCTTCTCCTTGGTCCTCAGTGTTGGGATTGATTCTGAACCTGGGTTCAGACAGGTTTATAGATTTCATTGTTCTTATTTGTTTTTTTTACAAAACTTTAAAAAAATTTTATTTATTTATTTTCAAAATCGAAATTAGAGAGAGAGGGAGCAACAGAGAAGGGGAGTGCGATCTTCCATCCCTGCAACAGCCAGCGTTGGACCAGGCTGAAGCCAGAAGCTTTATCTGGTTCTCCTGTGTGGATGGCAGGGGCTTAAGTACTTAGGCTATATTCTGCTTTCCCAGGCACATTAGCAGGGAGCTGAATTGGAAGTGGAGCATCTGGGATGTGAACTAGCACCCATATGGGATGCCAGTGTTGCAGGTGGTGACTGCCACAATGCACCCTCCCCTCTCCTCCCCTCTTCCCCAAGCTCTTATTTGGTCCATGTACTTATACACGACCCAACTCCAGGGACCTTTGTACATAACTTTCTTTTTCCTCCCCTTCCCTTCCCTCCCCCTCCTTCCTCTGTTCCTTCCTTCCTTCCTTCCTTGATTTATTTACTTATTTATTCATTCATTCATTTTTTGAAAGAGTTGCAGAGAGAGAAGGAGAGACAGAGATCTTCCATCTGCTGTTTACACTCCCCAGGTGGCTGCTAGAGTCAAGGCTGGGCCGGGCCAAAGCCAGGAGCTATAGCTTCATCTGGGTCTTCCACGTAGGTTTCAGGGGACTCAAAAATCTGGCTCATCCTCTGTTTTTCCCAGGCCATTATCAGGGAACTGGATTGGAACTGGAATAGCTGGGACACAAACTGGCGCCCATATGGGGTGCCAGCATTGCAGATGGCAGTTTTACCTACTACAGCACGTCAGCCCCAATAACTTTCTTTTTCATAAATGGACACTGAGATCTCCCATGGCAGGATGTATATGACACAGGTATTGAATTCTTTTTTCTCCAAATTTGTCATTAGATTGGCTAGAGCTAGTATATTCTGTGTGACATAAGTCCTTTGCTGGAAAAGATGTCAAGACAAATAATGCAGGAGCATTTTTCTTATCACCATTAGGGGTATTTCTTTTTTAATGTATATATGTGTGTATGTATGTATGCATTTATTTGAGAGGCAGAGAGAGAGGAAGAGACATGCAGAGAGAGCTGCCATCTGGTTTGCTCTCCACATGTCTGCAATGGCTGGGAACTGAATACAGGTGTCCCACATGGGTGGCACAAGCCCAGATAGTTGAGCCATCACCATTTGCTTCCCAGGGTCTGTGTTATTAGCAGGAAGCTGGAGACAGGAGCCAGAACCAGAAATGAAACCCAAGTACTCTGATGTGGGAGATGTGGGCGTCTTAATTGGCATCTTAATTGCTAGGCTAAATGCCTGTCCCAGTAGGGCTGTTTCAGGAACAAAAAATAGAGAAGCAAGTTAGTAATTTCTGTTCAAAGAGATGGAACATGAAAACATAATTTGAGATATTCCTAAACATGTATAACTAATAAATGCTAAAGATCTATATGCATTTATTATTTAACTGGAAGAAGCTAGATTGTAAAGATTCATTTTAAGCTCAAGTTATGTGGCCAGTCATCAGAATTTTGCTAGAACAAGAATCCGACGAATGGTTTTAAATTTGTATCCAACATATGCAAGTATATTTTTAATTTACCCTTCTGATAGATTGGAGTCTGTTTACAAGTAATGTTCGTTTCCTTTAACAGATTGCCTGGAATGGAAAAACTAGTGAAGTGTTTTTCATCTTCCGTAAGGACTGAGAGAGTGTATTGAAAAATTGTCAGGACAATCCTGTAGTGAACATAGAACTTACATGGTGTACATGCTCATTCAGTGACTGTGGAACACATTTTCTGAGTGTATTCTGTGTTAGGGAGCTTACTAAGTGCCTTCTCATAAATTCAGTGAGTTTACTGGGCAGTAGTTCCTTTGTATTATGGAAAGCAGACATGCATTTGAGGCTTTTTGTTTTTATTTTTTTTCCAGTTGAGGGGGAGTATTGCAGACTGTCATCTGCGACTCTCATTTTCAGACAGCTGAATGGGGTTAGTGGCAGTCTCTGGCGAAGGCAGGGAGCGGTGCTGACAAGCCCACATGCTGCTGTGGATTGGAGTGGTCCTGACATTTGCTAATACTGAAGTCATGCCCTATCTATTTTTGCTTTAAAAGGAGAAAATTACTGAAGTCCCATTGTTCTTTGGCAGCAAAGAGGGGTAATTTGGTGAACACCAATCCCCCCCCCCGCTGCAGGACCATTGTCAGATGCCCAGAATTCCCTTGGTGCCATATGGCATGTAGGAGAAAACCCTGCCTGAGGCATTCGTCAGGTCCTTTATGGTCTGTGTACCATGGTGCCGGATGCTGTAAGCTTCCCAATGTGGTAGACTGGCAGCTCCCTCTGATTCCACTCGGAGAGATTGTGAATACAACCTAAGACTGTCTCTTGTCTGTGAGATAGAGCTTGAGCAGTGCGAATCACTTTGGGGCACCTTGCTTGGGGAAGGAGGTAGCAGCATGCTCCGTTCATGCACAGTCACTTAGGTCATTTAAGAATAGGTTATTTGCTGCCTACATTACAAAGCACTATAAAGTTTATTGTTATGCCAGCTGCTATGCCCATATTTTACTGAATAGTCTTTGTAGTGTGTGTATGACTAATACTTTCACTAATAGATTTTTTTACACCCAACAGATACTCAGTGACTCTTTAAATTGGTATCATCTGATTCACAAATATCTTTTTTATGCATTCCTCCATAAGGACACTGAGCATTTGTAAATTTGAAGCAGACAACACAGTTACTCACAAGGTTGATATACTGATTATTTAGCCCTCGACTCCTAGTACCTTTTTAAACCTACCCTTCTGGTGTCTGCATTGTGATGCTGGGGGCTTCTATATTCAGGCCTGTATATCGCCCCACCTTATATGCAGCTCCTGTGTGCTGAATTTGACTTTAAATTTTAAATGTTATTTAACATTTGTTCAACTTTTATGAGAGGTACTGTTCTGGTTGCTTTACTTCATCTTATTTAATCATCACAATAACACAGAGATCCTGTTATGACCCCCATTTTACAAATGAGGCGATCAGAGCACAGAACAGTTAATGTCAAGATCTCATGGCCCACACACATGGCATATTTAGAATTGAAATCAAACTGCTTAGTTGCCACATATACAGTATTATGATGAGTACATAACTGTGTTAAAAAAAAGCATCAGAGACAGAAGTGACTCAGTAACTTGTTGAATGAATAGTCTCAGTAATTTTTTTTTTTTTTTTTTGCCAGGCAGAGTTAGACAGTCAGAGAGAAATAGAGTTATAGACAGAGAGAGACAGAGAGAAAGGTGTTCCTTCTGTTAGTTC